ATGCCTGGCTGATTTTTTTGATTTGTTGTAGAGATGAGGTCTCGCTGCCCAGGCGGGTCTCAAATCTGCGGGCTCAGGCAATCCACTCACCTCAGCCTCCCAAAGGTGTGGGATTACAGGCTGAGCCACGGAGCCCGGCTATTTCTGAGTTCTTTATTCCATTGGTCTATGTGTCTATTTTTATACCAGTACCATGCTGTTTTGGTACTGTAACCTTGTAGTAAAGTTTAAAGCCTGGTGACTTGATACCTCTGGCTTTGTTATTTTTGCTTAGGATTGCTTTGGCTTTTTGGGCCCTTTTTTGCTTCCATATGAATTTAAGGATTGTTTTTTCTAGATCTATGAAAAAATGATGCTGGTAGTTTGATAGGGATTGCATTGAATCTATAGATTCCTTTGGGCAGTATGGACATTTTAATAATATTAATGTTTCCAATTCATGAGCATGGAATGTTTTTCCATTTATTTGCGTCTTTTATCTATTTATTTATTTTAGCAATGTTTTGTAGTTCTTGTTGTAGACAACTTTCACCTCCTTGGTTAGTATTCCCCAACGTATGAATCTTCAAGTTGAGAACTTTCAACAGTGTGAGCACGTGCTGCATGTCCAATCACATAAGTTACTTCATGTGTCTGGTATACATTGTCACATGGACAAACCTTTGCCTGCAATTTGTTCATAATTTTCATGGATTTGAGAAGATAGATGAGGAGTCCGAAGAGGTCTTCAGCAACTTAGTGACCCTCAGCGAGAAGCTGGAGCTAGGTCTGCAAGAGGACGATTTCACTGCACTCCTTGCTGTGCTTACTAATGAAGACCTGATGGAACTGGAGACCCAGAGAAAGGACAAAGAGAGACAAGAGGAAGAGGAAGTAACTGAAGAACTGAAGAGGCAATTTTCTTTATTTGAGGAGGCACTGTTAGTTTTTGAGGCACAGAACTTGAACATAGAATTGTCCACGAAGGTTGTGGCAGCTGTTCGGTATACAATTTAGTGCGACCATGCCATCTGTGAAGAGAAAAAAAGAGCTACTACCCAGATATCACTGAATTGTTTTTTCAAAAGAGCAGATGGAATGGAATCCAGCAAGGATCCGGAGCCCGTGCCATCCCCGTCAGGCGTGAGGGCAATTGCAGCTGGCCCTCCGTCTCCTATTGCTGTCTATCCTGCGTCTCCCCCTCCTGTCCCTCCGCCAGCCAGGAGCTCTTCTTGCCTGCTCACTCGTTGTCAGCGCCTGTAGGCCAGCTCTTGTACTGAAGTGTATACTGTGCTTTTCCGAGGTACTGTCTTGAAAGATGTAAAGTATTCTGGTTTTTGTTTGTTTTAATGTATTGTTTGTGTGGAAAATATTATGTCTATTACAGTACAGTGCTATATAGCTGACTGTGTTGGTTGATTACATTGGCTAACTTTGTTGAACTTGTGAACAAATTGGACCTACAAACACACTCTCAGAATGGAACTCGTTCGTATGTAGGGGACGTACTGTATTTTATTCTTTTTTGTGGCTATCAGAAATGGGGTATGTTCTTGATTTTGTTCTCAGTTTAAATGTTGTTGGTGTATAGAAATGCTGTTGAGTTTTGAACACTGATTTTGCATCCTGAGACTTTACTGAAGTTGCTGTCAGTGCTGGGAGTCTTTTGGTAGAATATCTAGGGTTTTCTACATAAAGAATTATATAGTCTGTGAAGATAGATAATTTGACTTATTCTTTTCCTATTTGGAGACCTTTTATTTATTTTCCTTGCCTGATTCCTCTGGCTAGGATCCAGTACAATGTCAAATAGGAATGAGAGTAGACATCCTTGTCTTGGTTCTGTTCTTAGGGGGAGTTTTTCCAACATTGCCCATTCAGTATGAGGTTGGCTATGGGTTTTTCACAGATAGCTCTTTTTTAGATATGGTCTTTTGATGCCTAAAAGGCTGAGGGTTTTTACTTTGAAGGGATATTGGATTTTATAAAATGCTTTTTCTACATCTATTGAGATGATCATAGGATTCTTGTTTTTAATTTTGTTTATGTGGTGAATCGTGTTTATGGATGTGTATGTTTATGTTGAACCAACCTTGTATCCCAGGAGTAAAGTCCCCCTGATCATGGTGAATGATTTTTGACATGCTGCTGGATGTGGTTTGCTAATATTTTGTTGAAGATTTTTCATCATCTATTTTCATCAGGGATATTGACCTGTAGTTTTTTTCTTTGTTGTGTCTTTGCCAGATTTTGGTATCAGGATGATACTGGCTTTGTAGAATGAATTAGGGAAGAGTCCCACCTCCTCAATTGTTTGGAATAGTTTCAGTAGGATTGGTACCAGCTCTTACTTGTACGTCTGGTAGAATTTGACTATGACTTCATCTGGCCCATAACTTTTTTGGTTGGTAGGTCTTTCATTACTGATTAAATTTTGTGACCCATTATTAGTCTGTTTAGGGTTTCAGTTTCTTCCTGTTTCAATCTTGGGAGACTGTGTATTTCCAGAAATTTTTCAATTTCCTCTAGATTTTCTAGCTTACATACATTTAGATGCTTATAATATCTCTGAGAATTTGTTGTATTTTTTTGGAATCAGTTGTAAATGGTGCCTTTTTTATTTCTGATTATATTTATTTAGATTTTTCTCTGTATGTGTTTTGTTGTTATTGTTGCTGTTGTTGTTGTTAATTTGGCCAGTAGTCTATCAATCTTGTTTCTTCTTTTCAAGAGTCAGATTTTTGATTCATTGGTCCATTGTATGATGGTGGGAAAACTGGCTAACCTTATCCAGAAGAATGAAACTGGATGCCTTTCTCTCACTGTATATAAAAATTAATGTATGATGGATTAAAGACTTAAATGTAAGACTTCAAATGATAAAAATTATAGAAGACAGCCTAGGAAACACTTTTCTAGACATTGACATAGGCGATGATTTTATGTCCAAATTCTCAAAAACAAATGTGACAAAACAAAATTTGACAAGTGGAACCAATTAAAGAGCTTCTTCACAGCAACAAAAACAATCAACATGGTAAGTAGACAGTCTACAGAGTAGGAAAAAACATTTGCAAACCATGCATTCAACAAAGGACTGATATCCAGAAACTATAAGGAACTTAAATGAATCAACAGAAAAAAAAATCAAATAACACCATTAAAAAGTGGGCAAAGAGCCAGGCACAGTGGCTCATACCCGTTACCCCAGCACTTTGGGAGGCAGAGGCGAGAGGATTGCCTGAACCCCAGGGTTCTAGACCAGCCTGGGCAACTTGGCAAGACCTCATCTAAACAAAAAATCAAAAAATTAGCCGGGCATGGTGGCATGCGCCTGTAGTTGCAGCTACTTGGAAGACTGAGGTGGAAGGATCTCCTGAGCCCAGCAGGTTGAGACTGCTGGTAGCTGTGAGCATTCCACTGCGCTCCAGACTGGGCAACAGAGTTAGACTCCCGCTCAAAAAAAAAAGAAAGACAAAAAAAGTGGGCCAAAAACATGGAAAGGCACTTCTCTAAAGAAGACATACAAGCAGACAACAAACACATGGGAAATGCTCAGCATATGCCATATGAGATAAGACAGGTAACTGGGGCCTCATCAAACTGAAAAGCTTTTGCAAAGCAACCATCAAGGAAGTGGTGAGACAGTTCACAGAATGGGAAAAAAATATTTGCTAATGGTATATCTGACAAAGGCCTAACATCTAGATCTACAAAAAACTCAAATGAACTGAAAGGAAAAAGCCAAAGAACCCTATTAAAAAGTGAGTAAAAGACATGAGTAAAAATACTCAGCCTCACTAATCATCAGAGAAATGCAAATCAAAACCACACTGAGATATCACCTAACTCCAGTAAGAACAGCCATCTTTAATAAATAAAAAATCAACAGATGCTGGAGAGGATTCAGAGAAAAGGGAATGCTTCTACACTGTTGGTGGGAGTGTAAACTAGTATAATCTCTATGGAAAACAGTGTGGCAATTTTTAAAAGATCTAGAAATTGACCTTCCATATGACCCAGCAATCCCCCTTCTGGGAATATACCTGGAGGAACTCAAATCATTCTACAAAAAAGATACCTTCACACGCATGTTTATTGCGGCACTATTCACCATAGCAAAACCATGGACCCAACCGTGTTGTCCCTCAAAAGTGGATTGGATAAAAATTTACCATTCAACCTAGCAATTCCACTACTGGGTATATATACCCAAAGGAGCATAGATAGTTCTACCAAAAAGACACCTGCACTCATATGTTTATCACAGCACCACTCACAATGGCAAAAATATGGAACCAACTTAGGTGCCCCTCAACAGTGGATTGCATAAAGAAAATGTTGTCCATGTACAACATGAAATACTATGCAGCCATAAAAAATAATGAAATCACGTCCTTTACAGCATTGTGGATGTAACTGGAAGTCATTACTCTAAACAACTTAACACAGAAACAGAAAGCCAAACCAAATATTGCATGTTCTCACTTAAAAGTGGGAGCTAAACACTGGATACACATGTACACAAAGATGGGAGCAACAAACACTGGGGTATTCTAAAGGGGGAGGGAGAAAAGGGAGGGAATAAAGGTTGAAAAACTACATATTGGCTACCATGCTCACTATTTGGGTGATGAGTTCAATAAAAGCCCAAACCTCACCATCACAGAATATATCCAAATAATAAACCTGTGAATGTCCCCCTTAAATCTAAAATTAAAAAAATTAATAAAAATAAAGGCTTACCACCCTTATCACCTTTGGCACTGAAAGAACATATGGACTCTGGGAATATTCAGAATTGACTGTATCAGTTGCACTTGCTGTTTAGTATTAGGTTCAAGTTACTTAATGTTCATAAGCCTCATTATTCTCATCTGTAAAATGTGAGTAGTAATTTCATTGACTTAACAGTCATGAAATCAAACGAAATAGCATGTTAAATTATTAACGTGTGCAAATATGTGGTATAAGAACGATATAGTTGTCATTTTCATAAGCCTTTCCTTTTTACATTTCAGGCAGAACTCAAAAGCTTGATGGACAACGCTTCTTCATCCTTTGAATTTGCTAAAGAACTCATCCGGCACAATCTGGTGAATAATGGTTTCCCATCTTGACTGACTTCAGTCCTACTCTACTTTGGTACATCAGAGCAATTAGAAAGATGAATAAAAGGAGACACCCCAGAAAATAATGCTCCACTCCATGAGAACATCTCCTTTCTGTGGAGGAGATGGGCTTAAAATATTACTCTCAGTCCTCAAGGAAATCCTTACTGGGAGGGCAGGAATAGATATAACATTAGGAAAGAAGAGCAAGGCATTGTAGATCCAAGTGTTTGGTTTTTTGGCAAAAGTAAAGGAACATATCCCTGTGGGTTAGAAGGATGGCTTTGGTCTTTGAAGGTAGGCTAAGATTTCTAGTCAAGGATGTAAAGCTAGAATGAGGGTGACATATGTAAAAGATCATGAGTGGATTGGTCTTACTGGAACAGTACATTTGCACTAGGGAACATCGGACCCTAAAGTTGGATAGGGGTTGTTAGGTTTAGGGCTAGATTGTATTGGCCATTGCTAAAACAAACAAACAAACAAACAAGCAAACAAAAAAGCAACAATTAAGCCCAGATTGTTTCTATTTGGATAGTTTTTATTATGGGCTCCTGTGTCTAACCCTTCAAATCTGGTTTATAAATTGAAGCCAGATTAATTTTTGTGGAGAATTATGGGTTAGAGATAGTAGTCTAGAATTTAACTAGGGGAGAGAGACTTGAGACTAGGTTTAGAAGTTATTGTAAGAGTCTTGAAAATTAAATACAGAAGATTTTCGATTGCTTCAGTCCTGACAATCAAATATGGAAAAAGGATTAAAAACAAACATATGGTTTCAAAAGAGCATCTGTATTTATGGGGCTGGAGGAAGGAGAATCAGCAAATGAGACAAGAAAGGGCAGACAAGAAGAAGCACCTAGATAACGTAAGTCATTTTTAACTGTGCGTTTTAATCATCTGGGAGACTTTTAAAATTAGTGATGCATGAGCTCCACCCCCTGAGGGTCTTGTTTAGTGACTGTACTGGAACCCAGCTATCAGTATTTTTCTTAAAAGCCTCCCAGGTAAATATAATATACCATCAAGGTAAAAGACCACTATATGAATATATGACTGGAAGGAGCATATCAAACAGTAAATAGGGATTAGTGATTGTTTTTGGAGAGAGATTAGAGAGAGAAGTAAGAATATGGAAATTTTCATTTTATGATACTGTATTTAAGTTTTTTCCAATGAACACATACTACTTTTATAATTTTTTAAAAACCTGAAAAATATTGGGAGTAATAAATCATTAAAAACATCAACTTTTAAAGTCAGATTTGAGGTCAAAATCAAGTTACACCATGTAAGTCACTTTGAGTAAGTCACTTTGGGCAAGTCATTTAACATTGCTGAGTCTCAGTGTTCTCATTATGTAGAACAGGGAAAATTAAAGTGCTTGTCTTTTTGTGAGGATTAAATGAGTTGATGTGTAATGTGCTTCAGAGAGTATGCATGTAATAAAATGGCACTGTTATTGTCCTCTTGTAGACATCAATATCAAAACAGCAAACACAGAAAAGTCTAGTGAATTTGGCTAAAGTGGTTAATTTGTGACTAGTGAGACTAAGTTTACTAGTGTGCTGACTGCAGAAAAGAATTTTGGGGGAGATTAAGGAGTGAGAGGATGAGAAAGTAGAAACACTAAACCGCATACTTTTGAAGTGTGGCTTTGAAAGAAAGGGGAAATCGGGCACTCCAAAGGAAATATGGAACCAAGTAGAAGATCTTTTTCAAGGGAACAAAAATCCCTGGGTATGTTAAAAGTTGAGAAGTAGGACCAGGGCTTTGGGAAGATTGAAGATACAATGATTAATGGAGAAATGAGGTTCAGATGGAGTTAAGTTATGGAGTCAAGAAGACAAGTGAATGAATTAATCTTGGCAAAAGAATGGGACATCTCAAAGAGGAAGATGACCAAGAAAGATGACCAAATAGATATTTTGAGGGGAAGAAGAGATGAGGTAGTTCATGCCTGATGACCTTGATTTCTGTATATTTATTTGAAGGTCTTTCCCCACTTGAATAGTCTCTATATTGATTGTTCCTGCTGTAACCCCGGTGCTTATTTCAGTAGCAGGCGTATAGTAGGTGTTAATGAAAGCTTAATTAATTCAATAAAATTACCTCCTACGTGTGCCACACATTTAGCCCACTTTAATTCGTTTAATCCTCTTAATAACCCTGAAAGTAGACCTTACTAACACATTTAGAAATGAAGGAATGGGTTCAGAAAGGGCTATATAAATGTGTTCATGGAGTTTTTTATTTACAATGTCTAGGAAAAACTTTCATTGATTGTTGGGTACATGAAGAGTTTTCTGCAGTTCATATGAAGAAGAAAGGAAATGTATGCAATAAGGGTTATACCTTTATTTCTTATATGTATTATAATTTAGACAATGGCTTTCTTTCAATGAAGTTAAGGTCATGTATAAGGAGAGAGCTTCAACCATATATTCATCCTTTCAAAAAATAACTGAGTGCTAACCATGCTAGTCACAGTTGTTGGGAATACACAGTAAGTGCAAAGTTCTTTGTCATATGGATCTTATATTCTGGAGGATGTAACATAAACAGTTAAATGAAGAAATACTACCAGACTCGGTGACTCAGCCTTTAATCTCAGAACTTTGGGAGGCCAAGGTGAGTGAATTGCCTGAGCCCACAGGTTCGAGACCAGCCCAGGCAACTTGATGAGACCTGGTCTCTGCAATAAATCAAAAAATTATCTGGTCATGGTAGCATGTGCCTGTAGTTCCGGCTACTTGGAAGGCTGAGGCAGTAGGATCGCTGGAGCCCAGCAGGTCGATGGTAGGGTAGCCATGAGCGTGCCACTGCACTCCAGCCTGGTTGATGGAGTCAGACTCCAACTCAGAAGAAAAAAAGAAGAAACACATAATAAAATGAAGTAATAAGTGCTATGAATAAAAATAAAGATGGGCAAGAATATAGAGAGTGACAGTGGAGATAGGGTTTTAGATTTGATGGAAAATGAAATGTTTAAATATGACACTGCCGTTAAGATGGATCTAAAGCAGAGGGAAGGGAAAAGAAGAGAGAATGTAATAAGTAGAGAGAACAGTCAGGCAATAATGCATTCAGCCAATGGCAAAAGCTCTCGAAATAGCATCAGATTCCCTGAGCTATTTTAGTTGGATAACATGAGCCCAGTTGTATGTGACAGCTCCTTAAACATTTTCATCAGTTATACTTACGTGTGTGTGTATGTAGTTATTGCCATAATGACTCAACTTCTCTATCTCTAGGTTGTTTTCCGAGGAGGTGAAGGGGCTTTGCAGGTTTTACCTCCCCTGGTTGATGTCATTCCTGAAGCTAGACTAAACTTGGTGATTTACTACCTTCGTCAAGGTAAGAAAAATTGGTTTTAGTTTTTCTTCTTTTTTTTTTTTTTAGAGTGGCAGATCTCTTGGAAGAGCAGAATGAGTGAGAGAGCAGCAGGTCTCAGTGGGACCTCCAAAAAATGTTAGGGTACACTTCCAGCGGGACCTCCAGAATGTTAGGTCAGGCCCGCTGGGGGTGAGGGGTGTCTGGTGTGCGATCCAATGCCACATGAAAAATGCAAAGAATTGCACAGAAATTAGATTTAAAAATATGGTTTATTTAGAAAGTAAATTAGAGAGAGAGAGAGAGAGAGAGAGAGGAGATTCACCTCCCCAAGGTAGGGGAGGGCGCCAAAACTTAAGAAAACATGTATGACCATAACTTAAAGAGCACATGACCACACCATAGCTTAGCAAGGCAATGGCCAGTTTTACTTCTAAAGAGATATTTTAGAATATTTTATCTCTGATTGAACTACTTGCTTAACTTCTCAAATCCATAATACTTCCAAAAATATATCTGCAGCAAGTTCATAGGATAGAACAAATTTTTTGATGTTTATTTGTGTCTTTAACAATTTTTCTTTTCTCTTTTTGCAGCTTCCCACCCTCTTCTCCCTCATTTTATTTTTCTTTTTTCCTCTTATTGTTCTGTCTTTTGCTCACTACCCATTTTTTAGGGGGGTTTTCATTGTTTTCCCTCCCCTCCCTTATAGTTCTTTTTTTTCTAGTTTCCCCTGTATATAATCTGCATGTACATTTTTTTGTATCTTTTAAAAAATATTAACTGCTTTTTATTTGCTCTGATCTGCCTTTCTTTTCTTTTTCTTTTTTTACTTCAGGCTTCTTATGAGAAATGCTATGACTAAAAGAGAACTTTATAATTATTGCCCCTAAGTAAGGTTAAAATTGTTAGACACATGCCTAAAGCAATCTTTCCTAACAGTGATGAGTACAGGGTAGTAGCTGCCACGCATTGGTGGTGCCATGGACCTTGGACTAATAGTGTGGGCCTTTGTAGGTGCATGGTAGAAACCAACCAGACATATTCCTCATTAAGGAAAAAGTGTTTGTTAAAATAAGAACATGAATTTGCAGGCAGTCCTATTTGATATGTAAGCAAAAAGAAATATGCTTTGGACAAGAATTAAACAAACAACATGTATATTTTATAAATTAATTTTGTTATGAGAATTTCCAAACTTAAACCAAAGTAAATAGTATAACAGGCACCCAGATACTTATCCCAGATTCAAGAACTTTCAAAAATATTGCTAGTCTTTGGAAATTCAAAATCCCTTTTTTGTTCCTGAAATATTTTAAAGCAAATCTTAGACTTCATGTCATTTTACTTCTATATCCTTAATGTATATCTTTTTTTTAAAAATGGTTATTTTTCTTATCTAAATACAGTACCATTGGCATATAACATCCTATCCATATTCTTAGTTTGAACATTTTTTATGCTTCATGACTTAATATTACTTTTCTAAGGATATTTGTTTATCTTTAGGATAACTTCAACATTGAGCTTGATGGGAAGTTAGAGGACAGATAAAACAGATCATACTTCCCATGAATATTTGAGTACTGAAGATCTTATTTTTGGGGAGGCTGCTTCAGAAGGGTTTGCTAAAATACAGACTAATATAACTACTTATTTCTTATTTTTCAGATGATGTACAAGAAGCTTATAACTTAATTAGGGATCTGGAACCTACTACTCCTCAGGTAATTGAGAATGTTTTAAATTTTTGCTAACCAAGTTCTGTTGAAAGTGGAACTTCAGAACTATAGCTGAAAGGCATATAAAGAAGATTCCTGCTTGCAGAATCTCAGGAGAAACCATATATATTAATGTAGGAATGTTATGTGAGACTTTTGACATAAGAATGAATGTTCTGGGGTTTTTGATGTTTTCAAGCTCCCTTTTATGTTGTCATTTCTCAGAAGGGTTAAGGTCTGGAATACTAAAATCTAGGATTCTGGTAAGACTAATAACCAAGTACACGCACTTACCTCACTAACAGAATTATCTGTAACTTGCTTTCTCATTATATTGTTGACTCTTTATTATCGGGACTGCATCTGTATTGTATCTCCAATAGTAGTACACTAAGTACACGGTAGACATTCCACTTATCGAATGAAAGATTGAATGGAAAATATTTCTAGAACCCATGGAGTCTAAACAATTATATTTCTCAAGTGTATTAAAAGCTTCAGCATGTTTCATGCTGTTCTTAAATTTAAAAATGGATAAAGCTGCTAAGGAGGGTCTCTATTAAAGAATTGAACCAAGTCTGGAAAAATGGATACAAGAGAGGTTCCAGGATTCCAAAAGAGAGAATATCTTTCAAGTGGAAATCAGAGGACCCTTTTTTTTTTTAGGAAAAGTATCACTAGCAAAGAAAGGTTATTATAACATTGGAAAGGAAAAATAATATATGTGATATGGTCACAGAATGCAGTGGCTGAGGTGATAGAAATTATTTCATAAACATTTATAAAATAATGTTTAGATAATTATAATAAGATAATAGTGATAAATATAGTATAGAGAATTATCTAAAATAAGATAAATATTATTACATAAACTTTATGTAAATAAAATTACTCTGGATAACCTTTGATAATTTATGTAAAGTCTTCAGTTGATGCAAGGAATTAACTTGAAAGTGATCTCATAATTCCACATTCCTCTTAAATTAATTTGTGTTATTCCATGTTTCTAGGAATATATTCTCAAAGGAGTGGTCAATGCAGCCGTTGGCCAGGAAATGGGTTCAGTGAGTATGAAATCTGATGATCTATAGTTTGCAAAATTATAGGTGTGTGGAAAAGAACAAAGGGACTATCAAAGCACAGCCAGCAATATGCTCTTCAGCAGATTCTTTTATTTTTCTGTGTCCCCCAATCCATACTTCATTGTGAAAATAATTTATATTATTTAAAGACAAAAAAAAAAAAAAAAACTTTAACCCTAAAAATTGCTGCTTGTCTAAAAGAACCCAATTTTTTTTTCACCCAGGCTGGAGTGAAGTGGCACCATCATGACTCACTGCAGTCTTGAACTTCTGGGCTCAAGCAATCCTGCCTCATCCTCCTTAGTAGCTGAGACTATAGGTGTACACCACCATGCCCAGCTAATTTTTTTGTAAATACAAAGTCTCACTATGTTGCCAAGGCTGATCTTGAACTCCTGGCCTCAAGCAATTCTCCCAACTCAGTCTTCCAAAGTGCTGGGATTATAGGCGTGAGCCACCACACCCAGTTGGGTTCAATTTTAAACAGTGCTTTTATTTAATAAATGAAAAAATCATTGTATTGCTTCATTTTTATTTGCAGTAATTTTTTTAACCTTGCATATCTTTGAGCTATAATTTTTGACATCTGTAAAATGGCGAAAATTGTTCCTCTTGAAAAGCTTTTTATGAACACGAAAGCACTGTCTAAAACTAAGCTCTTGTCCATCTTAATATGGTATTCTTAGTTGTTTTTGAAACAAAATGGAATATCAATAAATCTTTTTATCTCTGGTTCACACCACAGTGCCTTGTATAGTAGAGAGACGGTAAATACTAATTAAATAAATAAATGAGTTTAATAAATACTCCTTGTTATAGCCATAGCTCCTACTTCAGAGTCCTGATATTTGATAAAAGAGCTAAATATTTGTTGAATGAATTAATGAGTAAACGAATGAGTCTATTTACTGAAGGAACTTTTTTTAAAAAAATCAGATATAAGGCTAAAACAGCCCAATGAAGAAACTTTTAAGATAGAATTTAGGGATTGGATTTTTTTCTTCTGTTTTATCTGACCCTTCAGGTCTAGTTGTTTATGCTAATGAGAATTAGTATTCTTTGGTGCAGTATTTAAAGCAAGAGTACACGTTAAATCATGATGAATATGTTAGAACCATAAAGTATAATACAAATAAAATATTTTTACTTTATTCTTCTAAATCAGCTCTGTTTTCTTTTTCAGAGGGATCATATGAAGATTGCCCAACAGTTCTTTCAGTTGGTGGGAGGATCAGCTAGTGAATGTGGTATGCCTGAAGCCTGTGCTTAGAAGCATGATTTTTAATTTGAGTTGGGCGTATATTGACTGTGAAGTTTGATGCTCTGTCCAGGGATATATCTATTAGGCCTCGCCTTACAAACTGGGCGGTCAGAAACAGAAAGAATATTGGAATTCGCTGTCCTCAACATCTCAGCTAAAGTGGAATGAGAGACTAAGTAAATGAAGGAGTCTTAGGAAGACCACTGGAAAGGGGCGTGTTCATACTGATCCTCTACTACCTCTAATAGAAATGTAATATCAGACAAAAATTGGATCAGGATCATATTGTTCCATGGCATATTCTTTTTCCATTTGAGATTGGAAGTGCTAGGTTGTCTGAGACAAGTACTTATGGAGCCCAAGCCTCATTAATTGAGTGTGCAGATGTTAGAGCTGGTTGAGAGAGAATCAGAGCCCTGGAAAAGGATCTGAGAACTACTGTAGCCAAGTGCCTGCAGGGCATGAGTTCATTTTGGAGTCTGGATGTTAATCCCCAGAGAAATTATCGATCACACTCAAATACTGTGACCTCTATTCTGCTAGAGTTTTGTCCCTGAACAGAACCAATAATTTCATAATCAAGAAAGATGTCAGCCGGGCTCGGTGGCTCAGCTTGTAATCCCGCGCTTTGGGAGGCTGAGGTGAGTGGATTGCTGAGCCCACGGGTTTGAGACCCACCTGGGCAATTTGGCAAGACCTCATCTCTACAATAAATGAAAAAATCAGCCGCGCATGGTAGCGCATGCCTGGAATTCTGGCTACTGGGAAGGCTGAGGTGGAAGGATTGCCGGAGCCCAGCAGGTCAAGGCTGCGGTGGCCAGGAGCGGCCACTGCACTCCAGTCTGGGCGACAGAGTGAGACTCCAACTCAAAAAAAAAAAAAAAAGATGTCTTGGAATATATTCCTATCTCTGAATTATAATATAACTCAAATTTCAGCTAAAGAAAACTTTTCATTTCACAAATGTACTGGTGTGTTTCTCCCTCCTTTTCAGATACAATACCAGGGAGACAGTGCATGGCTTCCTGTTTCTTCCTGCTTAAGCAATTTGATGATGTCTTGATTTACCTCAACTCATTTAAGGTCAGTACAGAATTATCCATATGCCCTTGTATATAAAATATTATATGTAATGTGTCAGAGAAGATAAAGTACCTGTAGAGATGGCCCTTTTTCTATGGTGGCATTAGTGGTATCAGCTAATTCCTTAAGATTATTTTTGTGTTTATCTGGTGTAAGTGATGATTT